TTGCGCGTTAGAACCAGCGAAACTTGGTACCTCAGGTTCGTTGACACAAGGCTCATTGAGCACGGAAGTCGTTTTGTTCCAATGAACCAAGTTGCAGTGTCTAGCGGAAATGCAAGCCTCGTTGAGGCAAAAATTGATTGGAACTGTAAATGTTCTCAATCTTAATGGGGGAGAGTGTAACGGGGTTACACGTACCCTGGTAACAGGAGTGTGTATCTCACGAGATGGGCATGGTTTGACTGCACCCAAATAAGAATACGGTACATGGCTGGTAGCCAGTAGTTATGCAGGTATTCAGATTTGACTATATATATTGCAAAAAATCTATGCATTTGAAGTTAGGCGGCTTTGTGTAGATAAAACAAATAAATTCAGTTTACATTTTAAACAGAAGTGTTTATTAGCCTTGGATTAAGGTTCTAACTACTCTTGGAGTAAGCGGATTGCGATCCGCTACATTCGTACTGGTTCTTGTGAAGAACGTAAGGTTGGTGACCTAAATTAAGCTTCCTCTAAGCGCAAAGCTACGGCAGCCTCGCTGCATTCATGGTGTTAATTACACCCGAAACTGACTTAAAGCTTTACAAGCCTGATTTGGACGTTCGCCTAAAGTTATTTATGCTTGGCTTTGCTAGTTTGGACACTACGTGCGCAACCAGATGATAGATAACCCATCCATTTTTTCTGTTGCTGTTGAAAGCTCGTCTGCATGAGAAAGCTGAAACAGCTACCGACCAGGGTATCAGAGACCTTACTGGGAATGAATTGATCTTTGGTGTAGTTGAAAGTTTCTTAAAAGTACCGAACTGACAATAATTATCAAGAATAATGGAATTGCGAAAAGGAGGGGTATGTGGCTTACGTCGACACTTGAGAAATAAAGATAGTTCTATCATATGAGTTAGTCAAATGTATATTTAGGGCTTAGTCTAAGCTGCATAATTCTAAAAAAACTCCTTTTTCTTTGCTTCTAATTGAAGTGAACTTCGGTGCGCTTGTAAGTGCGGATAGTCTAACTCGAAGCTTTTTCTATGTAAAGTGCACGGCAAACCCATTGCAGCACTGCCTCGTATGCTTACGCTCATCACTATTGATGGACGACTGCGATATCTCTGAGTTCTTTGGCGGCCCCCATACCAAGTGATCTCTTTAAGCAATTTGCCTTAAAGAGGAATGGTTTTCGGTGAAAGAGCATCGT